AAAAAACCACGAGCGAATCTCGAAATAGCTGACGACGAATCATCCGCAATAAAAGGATGGAAACCTGTATTACACGTAAACACGACCATACTGCGCACATTTCTAACGTATGTATACGTGTATACGTTCACGGCGAAAGAGAGAGAAAGAGGGAGGAAGCAGGAGTAGAGAAGGGAAAGAACACAGGCCCACGCCCCAGTAACACACGTGTGTATATATATATACGCACTTTATTGCACACACACGCGCGCAGGCATTACCTATATATATATATATGTGGGTAACCTGCACGCACACAATATACATGTATAAATTCAAAGGCACGTGCGGCGGTCGTAACTATATATACATATACCTGCAAAAACAGAGCCCGGAGATTCTTTCTCTTTCCGCGCCGCGTGGCCTTCCTTTCTCCTCTCTCTCGTTTCTCTCCACGTGGAAGCGTCACCGTAGAAAAAAAAAAAAAAAAAAAAAAAAAAGAGCCTGCAGGATTTCGGGGCACGGCAAAAGTTTCACGATCCTTACCCTCTCCCAAGCGACTTACACCGATAAAAAACAAAACCCATCCCATCGCCGCATCGGCGATGATGTACGTGAATGTTTTTCCTCTTTTTCTCCTTCTTTTTGGGCTTTCCCGTTTAGGCTTACTCATCAGGGGCCAATGGAAGGGAGGTGAAAGCGCCGAGGTGTTTTGCTCCGCGTTATCAGTCCGGTGGGACAAACGGTACAGGTATACAATCCATATAGGTGGGCGTGTGACGCGTTTACAGCGTATGTATATATTATGACGTAGATAACTATTAGGTACTTTTACGTATAACATGACATTTTTGTCGAAACAAAGGGGAAGAAGATCTATATCAACAAAGAAGCAGAGGACTCGGGAGCGAGAGAGAAAAAGATGAAGATGTAGAAAGAAGCGGAAGTTGGTGAAGCCAGGCGTGTGAGCGGGCCGTAGCGCGTGTGTATTAAAATGTGCACACAATCTGTGTAATGCGCAAATGGACAGAGTAAAAAGAAAAAAAAAAAAAAAAAAAAAAAAAACAGAAGGATGGACAGCTCATGGATCACGTATGATGTGCATGGGAGAGCAGCGCGTGAATCGAGGTGAATTTATACCGATGAGCAACAAGGGGTTGTAATGTATACTTAACTCTTGTGTGACGCTGTACAATATAATATAATATACATCTCGTTGCTCATCGATAAAATAACGCTGCGCCAATATATTATATGGTATAACGACATCGTCACCGCCACGATATGGTATAGCCACATCTGTACTACGCGAGCGATGATGGCACGTTTTCTTTTATTTTCTCTCTTTCCTGCTTTCCATACATTACGTGCTACGAATGTGCAATTAAAAATTCTTGGTTACTCACATTTGGGTACGCCGCCACTGAATCGTACACACGTACTTCTATAGGTATACACCTGAACCTTATACTTCAGTGTATATACATATACATACATTGTGTCTTTGTATGTAAAACTTGGCTTGCACACGTGGTTCGAAAACATTACGCGCAAATATGAAAGAAGCGCTCGTACCTCTGATAGACACATATATGTATATATACCCACAAGCGCGCACACAAGCTTGCGTTCATTATTGTAAGTGTGGCAACACGATACGTCCCACCTATGTAGGTATTATCTCTATTGAGATTAGGTGACCTCGCGAAGTACGTGTGTGCGTGTCAATGATACAGAGGCACGTATATACAGATGCGCGAGCACGTGTGTAAAAAAGAAAAAAGAAAAAAAAAAGCCGAGAGCGTTCGATAGATGAGACCGAGAGAGGGGAAAACGCGTATAGGATCCTATACACATCCTGTGGAAAAAAAAAAAAAAAAAAAAAAAGTAGAAGAATGAACGAAGTTGCAAAGTGCGCGCTTCGCGCGACACAAAGAAGAAAACGGGGGAATCCCCCGAGCCCTCGACCGAGACTATACACGTACACGTGTGTGTGTGTGTGCTTCACACATCGGTCGATCGTGTCATCGTGCCCGTGCGGTGTGTGACAATATGTAGGTATGTGTGTGTGTGTGTACACACACGTATCATGTTCTCGCTCCCTTTAGTCGTGAAGTGGACGGTTTATACTAAGCATCTCCGATTCTCTCTCTCTTTTTTTTCTTTTTTTTTTAACGTTCCCCTTCTCCCTCCCCACGTTGCACCTATATTTACCCCCCGACACTCAATGTTTATACTACGTTTCCGATACCTACACTCAACACGTGTTTCGGCTGATGAGTATTTCGTTTGTATATACGTATAGTACGCGCACGTGCATTTTTTTTTCGAGCAGGTGAAAAACAAGGTTCAAAGTTTTCTGGAGCACCGGGTCAACGACCTTTCCGCTTTTCCCGGCGCTATGCGCATTCACTGAAATTTTCGTAGCCCTTTTTTTTTCTCCCCGCCCACTCCCGGGATATACATATATACATCGGGGTACGAAATTTCTCTCGATTCTTTTGTCCCTCTGTATAGTTCGTGCCAAAACTACACGCAGAAAATATAAGTGTGGGGGGGGGAGGGGAGGTAGGTATTTTCAGGTTGACACCCCAAAGTCATATATACGGAAGCGTCGATGGATCTGTCATGTGTTACGCGAGACGAGTACGAGCAAAGTATGCTCTCGAGCAGATATCGTTAGAAAAATTGGCCCAGTCGAGTTTGCATGTATGAGTTTGCGAGGCTCATAATACCAGTGCAGAAAAAGTGAATCATAGCAGAGAGAAAAAGCGGAAGCATATACATAAATCAGCCATGTGGTTGAGTGAGCATGCACCATGATGCTTCAAAAAATACTTGCCCCGTCACGCTGCGTGAAAACATGCGCAAGATACATAGGGGCGTTGGTTTCTATGAGACAAAAGCTCACTGAGCATTCACGAGCATCAGGATCGCACGGGGCATTGGCCCTTCCTTGCGCGTCAACCATTCAAAATAATGGTAACAGGGGACGAGAGTGCAAGACCACATGTCAGTCGGTATAATATAGCAAAGAAACTGGAGAGCGCAAATATTTCGCGTCACGATTGCAAAACTTTCTCTCTCTCCTCTTCTTTCGCATACTCATTTTCGTGGCAGGAAAAATATAGTTGTCCTACATCCTTCTTGGCAAATGACAAAAGGTCAGTATAGAAGAGGAGAAGCGAAAGCGCGCAATTCCCTTCTTTTCTCGTCTTCCAATAGTGGGGCTAATGTATGAAAAAAATAACAAGGAAAAAAAAAAAAAAAAAATCGAGGCATTCGTTACTTGCTGAATGTAAGAAAAACAGAAGATAAGAACGGACATACCTACTGTACGATGCGTGTGTCATCTCATATTATGTTGCAAATATACAAGGAAGGGAAGAAGAGAGGATAGTGTGTTATAATGGGATGTGGCTGAAAGGATCCGAAGAACCGCAAGACAACAAGTTCCGCGTGTGCAGTGATGATGATTGTTAGCCGCGTCCACGCCGTAGCTCCAAAAACTTGTGGTGTTTTTCTCCCCTCCTATATATACTCCTTCCTCTCTCCGCGATACCCCATACACATATACATATATAGCTCCCCCGTTCCATCCCCCAATGTATAAGCGGACGAGCGAGCAAAACAACACGGTCCATCTTCTTCCTCTTCTTCGCGTATAGGACGTGCTTCTCGTCGCGCTTTTTTCCTTTTGCCATTCGATCGATAGATGGGTTGGCGCATATATGGTATAGTATAACCCTATGCGTGCATTATTCACCATACATGTGTATGGTATTGCCCCATGTTGCGGGCCACGTTGTGCCAAAGTATATAGTCGCTTGATCGCGCGCACCTTCTCATGTATACTTATACACTTACCCATCAGCCCAACGAACTCACCCCTTCCCTTAGAGCACGGAGAGAAAAATGAAAGAATCCCCCCTCGCCTCGTGCACCGATCCTCCTCTACCCCCTTACAGCCGCTTCATCCCTTCACGGCCAGCAGCTACACGTACATATACAACTACAGTTGTAAAAAAAAAAAAAACGGAGCAGAGCAGACGTGCGCGCGCGCGCGCGGTAGCCGCCGTCGTCGGTCGGGTCGCTTCATCCTCGCCGGACCAGCCGCGTGCCTGGTGGTGGTGGAGCAGCAGCCACCTCAGTAGGGAAAGTATGTCCACACCGCACTCAACATTTCTCGTTCGTTCGCTTGGCTCGCAATATACCAATGTTCTCTCTCGGATGCTTCTGTGTGCAGAAAAAGGGAGACGACGGGGTGGGTGGGGGGGGGCGATGATATGACGATCGAGCACTTTGTATATTATATACACGTAGGAAGAAAAGAGAGAGAATCGCAGTAGCTTTGCAGGCTCCTCGAGGCTGCCCCTGCCTGCACCACCGCCGCGGCCGCCGACAACAATAATACCTATATATATATATATAAAGCGCGCGGGGGCCCCCAGACCGACGACGCGCGCCGAGACGACCAGACAGCCGCCGCCGTCTCGTTTTTTCCCAGTCTTCCCTCTCGCTCGCTTGCGCCGAGTCTGGCGGTTCGCGGCTCGGTATAGCTCCCCTCGCTCGCGCTATATATTGTATACCTATACACCAATACTACCATAAATCTACTCCTCTCTGCTGATGCTCTTCGTTTCGTTGTCTGCTGTACAATATATGCATATATATATATATAGAGAGAGAGAGAGAGTCCGTTTGTCTGTCTGCTGCGTCTGTCCCTGCATGTGTATATAACTCCGCGCTCATCCGCTGATGCTCTCTCCTCGACCTCCTCGTCCGAAAGAATACATATACATACATATATATATATATATATAAACCAAACCAGCAGAAATAAGTACAACACGCATATACGTACATGTTGGCTCGTGTCGTGTGTTTGTGCGTCGATCAGAGGGGGGGAGCGTCGCGGTATCGGTGGTGGGGCCAGAGGAGGAGGTCGCGCGACGACGACGACGAAGAGAGAGCCGCCGTCGCCGTCTAGCTAGCAGTTGAGTACACGACGCCGTCTGTGATAACGCACGCACGGTGTGTCGTCGTCATCGTCGTGTGTTCGTGCGTGCGTGATTATATTATTATATATTTATAAACGCGGGCCCAGCCATATATATATATATATATAAGTATAGCTGCAGTGATTGATAAACCAGCATCAGAGAGTGTGCGCCGCGGTACAGTGTGCTATTGTTGTTATTGCATGTGCTGCTTGCGAGCTTGTGTAAGTGTGTGATGAGAAGCAGGGAAAAAAGGGGAACGCAGCAGCAGCTTCGTTGGCGGTGGTGTTGTTGGTTGCTGCTGCAGCAGCCACAACTATAGTGCGACAACGAGTCTAGTGCCAGAAAAAGATTCGATTTGCACCTTTGGGGTGGAAAAGAAGAAGAAAGAAGAGGGACACGGAGGCGACGGTGATGATGCTGGGACGTTATGTCGTTGTCATCTTGGTTGGACCGTCCGTCCTTCGCTCGTACCAGCGAGGGCAAAGTGCCGTGTACGTGCAGTGACTGTGATTGTGTTCAGTGCGAGTGCGTTGGGAAAGAGAGGCGACCCCGACGAGGACGGGAGTGCAAAAAAAGAATCTAGAAAAGAGAACAAGCAGACAACAAGTGTTGCTGTTGCGTGTACATGTATAAGCTCTCGAATATCTGTGCGTTCGTGTGTTGTGTGGGCAAGTTTAGTGGAGCATAGCAGGGCTGGTCGTCCTCGTCCTCCTCCTCCTCCTCCTCCTCCTCCTCCTCCTCCTCGTCATCGTCGTCGTCTTGTCGACATGTGCCAGAAATTAGCAACACTGCAGAGCTGTAGTAGCGAGTTTGGAGCAGTAGTAACAGTAACAGCAACAGCAGAAGAAGACGAAGGAGCAGCAGCAGCAGCAGCGCAACAACTCAGGCCAGCGACCCGTACGTCGCCGCCGCCTCTGACCGAACCTGTATTTCGCTCGATCGTCGTCCCCCTGCCGCCTCCTCTTCTTTTGCTGCCTCTGCCTCTTCTGCTTTTTCAGCGCTGCAGCAGCTAAAGGGAAGAAAATAGAGAGAGAGAGAGGGAACGAGCGCGAGCGGCGACCTTCGAGGACGCGCGTCGTCGGAGCCGCAACGCAGCAGTGTATACACACGCGAGAGGAGGATACTATATATAAATACAGGCAGCCCGAAGTACCTGTATACACAAACACGACAGTAGACACACACACATTCGCCTGTCTGGTTATATACCTTGAGACTACTCGCTGTCGCCGCCACCGCCACCACCGAGAGGAGGAGCGTGTGCGCAAAGTCTGCCGCGTTATTACAATTTGTCAACCATCAGGTGACGTCAAGTATCATCTAGTGCTCCAAAAAATATCCCTTCTCTTTCATGTTTATATGAGGTAACAAACACAGTGGAGATGAAGATGTTTGGATTCAAATCAAGCCCTCAGCTGCTGAGGGACAGCGTGAGTTCAGGAAGCTGATATTGGACTACATCCTTGAGAGAGGGGCTCTCCTCTCGTGGCTCGTGGGGGCCAAGGAGGCTGCTACTACTGCTCGAGACTTGCAAGTTTTATCGGAGATTATGTTTGGTCTGCTCGATGGATTGTTGCAAGACTGATACTACTACTACTTGTTACTAACTGAGTGAAGCAATTTCCAAAGTGTAATAGTAATTTTTTGGGGACTTGGTAGTGTGATGCTGATGAATCTTTGCAGTAGATTTAACAGGACAGCAGTGAAACTGATGAAAATGGTGTTGTGAGAAAAATGTAGGTTTTTTTCTACCAGTGAATTAAAGAAGTTGAAAATGGTTTTTTCCGAATCATTAAAAGAAGTGCAGTGAAACAAAATTGTTTGGTCTGGCAATTGCTGGTGTTATCATGTAAAAAAGAGTAGCAGTGGTTACAAGTTCTGGACTGCTGTGTCAGTGCAAAGAAAAAGTAACAGTGTATCAATGTTTTACGTGAGAGTTTTGCTCATCTGGTCTTCCTAAATTTATTGTTTTCCTTCGAGTAGTCGATTAATAATTAAGCCAAAACAAGCAACAATGGAGACCCTACTGCCTGGTGATACCAATGCCCAGTCTTATAGTCCACAACTGAAGAATGTATTGAAAACATATCAACTGTCGGCCACAAAGAGCCTACAGGGTCCAAGCTCGGCTCTGCTTGGTATAGATTGCAAGGGAATACTGCAAGATCCATCGGCGTTTCGTTTTTCACCACCCGTCTGTACGGCAGGTACCTGCGGCCTGGACGTTATTGCAGTTTCCGCTGAGCATGTGCCTATCAAAGAGATCGAGAAGAGAGAACCTTCGCCGGTTCCCATCACAGCATCTTGCAAAGATCTTCGTCTGGAAGCACCGCTTGAAGACTCGGATGATGATCCTCTGGAGAGGCCAAAGGTATTTTAGATTATTTCGTGCTTTGAAACAGTTTTTTTTATTTTTTTTTAATGTACCGTATTAGCTGGATTTAATGACGGTATTGTGCACAGGAACGCGAGGTGTTTATCTACGATACTTAACAAGTATAAGAATGCTGGGTAATCGTGTCTTCACTTTGATTCTCTAGTTTGAAAAAGAAACAAAAAGAAAGTTTTTAGTTATCTCTTGTGTTTTTAGAGCTACTATAGAGAAAAATGATGTCTCATTAAACAACCGTCGAGTCATAAGAGTCGATTAACTTTTTTTTTTCTTTTTCTTTTTTTCATTGACTACGTTCTGTCTGATAGTTTGTGTAAATAAACGCTTGGGTTTTCATTGACAGCACGTGTCGTAAAATTTAATTAAAATTCCAATACAGATATATTTTTATCATCACGAGTTTCAAAGGTATAGTGCTCACATTCCGTCAGGCAGTAGTAATGACACCAAGATAACACACACATTTGACTGATTTCGAACAATGAATAAATTTTATTGAAGTAACACACAACAAGTATTTATGCGACTCGCTCTCCGGCTCTATACTTTCATTAAAAACTCTCGATTCGAGTATTTATTTGTACTCACGCTTGAAACGTAGCATCATCGAGAGTTTGTGTTATTATTGATAATGACTTAAGCACACAACAATTGCGCAAGTGAACGAAATTAAGGTACATGGAAAAAACAAAAAAAAAAAAAAACGCAAACACTTGTTGCAGGTGTGCGCGAAGCGCGACTCGGAGTTCCAGATCCCGATCTTTACGGCGCCTGACCAATCGTGCTCGGAGCGCTGCGAGACGGTCCTCGAGGGCGAGCGGATATCCTGCTTCGTCGTGGGTGGCGAGCGCCGGCTCTGTTTGCCCCAGATCCTCAACACCGTTCTCCGGGAGTTCTCGCTGTCCCAGATAAACCAGGTGTGCGACGAGCTCCAGATCTACTGTTCGCAGTGCCTGCGCGACCAGCTCGACGAGCTCAAGCAGTCGGGCATACTGCCCCGCAACGCGCCCTCCTGCGGCCTCATCACCCAAACGGACGCCGAGCGCCTGGTCAGCACCCTCCTGTCGAGAAAGGAGCCCTACCTGCAGCTCGACGACATCCACGAGGAGAAGCGCCGTCTGGTGATGGCGGCAGCGGTGGCCGCCGTCGAGGCCAAGGCGAAGGAACTCGACGGCAAGGAGCCGGCCAAGATCGCGCGCTTCAAGGTCTACCACGAGTGCTTCGGCAAGTGCAAGGGGATCTTCGACGCCGAGTGCTTCGAGTCCGAGGACTCGCCCTGCGTCGAGTGCCTCGAGTGTGGCTGTCGGCTGCCGCCTCAGAGGTTCGTCAGGCACGCCCACGGCTCCCAGGAGAACCGCACCTGCCACTGGGGCTTCGACTCGGCGAATTGGAGGAGCTACCTGCTGGCGGCGCGCGACCAAAGGGACTACTCCAAGGTCGCCGACTTCTTCAAGGAGCTCAAAGAGAAGAATCTCGTGCCCAACCCCAAGCGTAAATTGGAGGTGAGCCACCGTGGCCTTCATTTCGTTAAATACATACTATTATTATTATTATTATTATTATTATTATTATTATTATTATTATTATTATTATCATTATTATTATTATATCACGAAAGGCGTGCAAGTACAATTATACCTACCGGCAATTTGAATGAAATGGTTACGGTGTAAGTATACCTGGATCGCGTAAAAGAACGAATGCGCGCCCTCCGAGTCGTGGTCCTCCCCCCCCCCCAGGAATTAATTGGTGTTTTGGAAAAAAAAGAGTTTTGTTATTGTAGATGGGAGCTGACACACGACACGGGCACCATGGTATATTACGTTGGTGTATTATTTTTAGAAACGATTCCTCGATGGTACACGCGTATGCATAAGTGTATGCTTCTACGGAGGCAATAACCCAGTGATATACACTATCCAAAAAAAGATTTACATAGTCTGTGTTTTTTGCTGCCGGTGTACCCACATTACTTCTCCCTGTAGCTACGAGACTTTATATGTATGTATATTATCCGTCGCGCGTGTCGCGTTTGATGAACACATTGTAGGTACTTATATGGGTCACACGTGTAAAGTACGACCCTCATCCCTGTATCGACCTCCCGAACGAAATTCAAAACATTTACGCGACACCATGCTCCGCTGCTGCTTCTGATGAGCGCTCGGGTGTTTTCCTTCTTTTTTTTATTCCGTGATTTGTTTGCTATTTTGAAAAAATACTGACTGCACGAATGAAAAATGAAACAAAACAAAAGTGTTTTTCGCTTTCAGCAACAATAAATAGCGTGAGATCGTCAGGCCAACGACTCCGGTGGATATACTGATACGAAAACGTTTTTAGAAGAGAGTAAATTGAATCAACATTTGCCCGAGATAACGTCAATCATCTGATTGGAGGCTTGAAAAAAAAAAAAAAAAAAAAACGAACATACGCCGCGTGCATTAATTATCACCCGATACGATAGTTACATCGTTTGCGCGTGATCCAGAAACGCGGGGGGAAATAAAAGAATTCCTTATTTTGACGAATAAGACCGAGCTTTAATCGGCAGTATCGAAGGGGGAACAAAAAATCTAGATTAATTTGAAGAAAAAAAAATTGAGCTCTGAGATAAGAGCACGTTGTTGTTTTGTACTCCAAGGTGGCTTAAACAAAACGAACGATTGTCTTTCGCAGATACAGCACGAGTCCGAGAGGCTGATGAAGAAGCTGAAAAAGGACATTGGCAGGGACGAGTTTGCCAGTTTGTACAACGGCAACGGCCTGGCGGGCCTGTACCACCCGGTGTCGGCGGCGGCGGCGGCGGCCAGCGTGGCCGATCCCTTTTTGAGGGCCAGCATGCAGTGGGCCGTCTTCGAGCTGGCCGCCCGCGAGGCCTCCTCGGCATTCAGGCCCTGGAACCCCGCGGGCTCGTGCAAACACAGGGACAGGTGAGAAAGTTCGAGATCTGCTTCACTCATATTATTTTCAAATCAAACACAAGTGGCAAGTTAAGTATTTATCAGAGAGAGACGGGAGAAATTTAAAAATGCACATCGAGTTAATGTAGAAACGTTGAAAAAAAGAAATCTGCCCAATGAATTGGGACATCACGAACGACGCGCTATCGATCAAAAATTCGTGTGCGCGTCAACGTGGTGTATATGTATACGCGTGTAAAATGCCGTTGCCGTTGACACAAGTGCGGAGGGAAGAAAATTTATCTATCAAGGCTTTGCAGCTAATCTGCATACGGCAATCGCGACAGATTAAAGGCTCTCAAGGCTGTGCGCAAAAAAAAGCCAGATTTCTTTTTTTGCCAGCTTGTCATTTGAAACATTTACTTTGCACAATATTATGAATTTATCGCCACTTGAATTACGTAACCCGAGTTTTTTTTTTTTTTTTTTTTTTCGGAAAGACGTAATAATTGTCCACTCTCGTGAACAAAAAGTGTAAACGAGTACCTAACAGAAGGCGGCCTATGCGCATTTTTTTTGCAGCTCACCGCTGGTGCCTGCGTACCTGAGCCGAGGGCCACCGGTGCTCCAGCATCCAGAGCGCGTGGTGCCCATGTCCGAGTGTGAGCGCTTCGAGCCGCACTTCCAGCCAAACGTGGCTCTCGCTCCGATACCAGCCCCCGTAGTGCCACCACCACCACCAGCGGGCCAGGCTCTAGCTCTGGTGGCCCCGGTACCGCCTACCATAGTCGCCCCGGTGGTGCAGCCGACGCATCGGCCGTACCATCGCTCGTCGACGCGCCACAACCACATTAGTAGGCACAGGTCAACGAGCCCTGACGAGAAAAAAGCGACCACGGCCTCGTTGAGCACCTCTCCGACGACGGAGGCTTTCGCACCCGTCAGCGTGAAAATCGAGAAGCCGTCGTCGCCGTGCCTACCAGCCCCTTCGGCCGCTGCCGAGCCTGCCTACGTGCCAGCCTCCGTACTGAGGTGCATATCGCCACAGCCACGGGCGAGGGCGTCCCCCGAAAGATCCGAGCCTAAGGTAGTCGTGGTGGCCCCGCTGCCGCAGCCTACTGTTCTGGCTCGGGTCGAAAAGGACAGCCGGATGACGCCCGAGGACAGCAAGGAGGCGCCGGTAGCAGTCGCGACTCCGATGGTGGTCGACACCACTGTCGAGCATCCCGACGACGACGCGAAAGAGGATGAAAATCCTGCCGTGACCTCGTCCACGGTGAGTCGGGTCTCCAAAATTTTTATTTTTGATACTCACTCCTCGCGCTTTTACTTGAATTGCGATTAACTTGCGAGGGACTCGCTCGTGGGGTCTCAATGTATGAGCACGTGCTATCGTAGTATCCGGCGACAAGCCGACGAGCGCAAGGCCCAACAAAGAAACAATAACACACGGGTGTGTATGTTCCTCCTGCATTTGCATGTCGTTGAATTACCGATGACAATCTCCAGTGTCGCAAAGGAATTCACAACCAACGGAACTTGACACGTTGACGCGCGCTTGTTTGTTTTTAACGTTTGTCGTGATTTCGTATGTTTTCGTAATTCAGCGATGCGACACCGTCCCAGAATAAGTAACAAAAACAAACCCGTGAATTTTACAGCCGACGCTAGCGGCGGCCGCAGGATCGGTAGCGGCACCAGTTGTTGTTGAACCAGTGCCAGCCGAGCCAAGCGGCTCCTCGTCGCCGGATCATTGCGAGACCACGGCGGCACCGACGACGGTAGCTGCAGTCCCAGTAGAGTCGGATCTGGAGAGCGAGCTCGAGGAGCGCCTGAAAGCGATGGAGGCGCCGCGGGAGGTAATCGACACCTTGAGGCGCCTGTATGCCGAGCTGTCCAGCTTGAGACTCGAAAACGAGAGGCTCAGGAAGGAGTTGAGCGAGCAGCGACGCTTGGCAACCGAGACTGAGACTGTATTGACGCAGCAGCAACTGCAGGTTGGCAAGTGCGACGCGGCTGACAGCACTGAGGGTAGTGGTAACAGTAGTAGCAACAGTTGCTGTAAGCTCGACGCGGTACAAATAAGCAAGGTCATTGTGGAGGCTAAGGAGGTGAGCGTAGGGCCGACTGGTAGTAGTCCTTGTACGACGCCTACGTCGGTGGTCAAGGATTAATGAGGGAACGGATGCTTGTGTACTTACGTTCATGATCGTCCGCCTCCGTTTTTATTATTCTCACGTTTTATTATCCCGTTTATGGAAAACAAATTTTTTTGTCACTGCTGTTTTGCGATACCGAGACTTTAAGCACAGAGTACGATTGTGAGATTATGTCTGCCTTCTGGTCGTTTGGAAAATTATTTTTTTCTCTCTCTTTTCGAGAGCAACAGTTCGGATTCCTCGGAATTTGTTAAACAGTATTCTGAACATTAAATTTGTTTATTCGTCGCGGGTGGATTTCGAATTTTGACAATTTTTTTTTCTATTAAATGGGGTTTTATTAAATCCCGATGTTGTTTTATTTGTGCAGGGCCTGCAATGCATAGCTTATATAGACTAATTGTAAATATAGTTATGAAAGTGGTGCCCTTTGATTTTTTCCGTAATTAATTTTACGAAACCATTCGAACTGTTACTTTTACTGAATAATTTAAGCTCATGTTTTAGTTAAATTAAAACTTGAAAATTCTAGAAGTAAAACTTCTACGAATTATAAAAATGATTTTTTTTTCGTCTTATTCTTCGGTTGTGATTTTATAAATCAAGTGAAAATCGTAGGACTTCAGCTCACGTTAAAAATTTAATTTGAAATTCGGTGATTGAAAAGTGATACATCGTGTTCGCTTTCAAAAAGAGAACACGCTGGAAAATTTATTTACAATAATTTAAATTGGATAGCTTTAATTTCGTTGCGATATAAAAAAGTGCTGGTCTTTTTTTCTTATTCTTCGGTTGTGATTTTATAAATCAAGTGAAAATCGTAGGACTTCAGCTCACGTTAAAAATTTAATTTGAAATTCGGTGATTGAAAAGTGATACATCGTGTTCGCTTTCAAAAAGAGAACACGCTGGAAAATTTATTTACAATAATTTAAATTGGATAGCTTTAATTTCGTTGCGATATAAAAAAGTGCTGGTCTTTTTTTAAAAATGTATGTAATAAGTTAATTTTATANGCGTATATTGGTATACAGCTACATGTAGCCAGCCGGGGAGGAGCGAGTGGACAAAAATACAACTTCCTCCCATGTGAAAAATGTAAATTGCTCGGGGGGGTCGTTACGAAGGAGACGGAGGAGGAAGGATGGAAAAAAAAAAAAAGGAAAACGCAAGCACCTACACACACGGCCAAAAGATGGTATAGATAATTCGTACCACGGGAGCATCAGCGGGGGCTACCGGAATTTTGTGAATGAGAGGCGCGCGCTAGCGGCCTGCCGCGAATACAAACAGGCTGCCTGCACACACACCCGAGGCCCCTGCTGCTTCTTGCTGCCTTTATTATCTGTACCGTCCCATCCCGCATGTATGTATAGTACGGCACAGGGCCTTGCGTAAGCCGGTAGCACCACTCCGAATTAGGCTCCCCTTCCTATATATATACCTACTCTCTCTTCCTTTTCTTTTCTTCTCTTATTCCTTGCTTGTTTCTTTGCTTTTTTTCCCCTCTTCCTCCCTGATCTCCTTTCAGGACTTTCGGATCCTCGCAAGCCCCAGCCTCCGCGGGGCTCATCCCACTTTGCCTTCCTTTTTTTCTATTGTACCCCGTTTATTTTTCTTTTTTTTTTTTTTTTTTTTTTTCTTCCTTCATTTCCCTTCTCTTTTGAGTTTCAAGCGACTTGTGCGTGTGGGAGAGATAATTTAAATGTAACACAAAATGATAATCACACACAATATCAACACGTTAAGGCGATCATCATGAAGCAAATAAATACACATATTAACGAGGGGAACGATAAGCCGACGATGCATCGCATCTGGACTGCAGAGACTTATATACGCTAGCGGATGTTATTTCACAAGTGGGTTTGAAAAAAAAGTTATGAAAGAATCCGCGCCACCCTTATCGCCGTGCAAAGATAGGGGGATCGAATCTTTTTTTTCTCCAAACATCAGAGCCTTGCAAGTGCAGTGGTCTTGCGGACCGAACGAAGCTTCGAGAGAACCTTACAATGTACGACACTGCGCGCAAATTTCTTGCACATTCACATCCACATGCAAGCACGTATGCATGCGAAGGAGAAAGAAAAATCGGCGTCGACGACCTCCAATCGTCGTCAGCAGCTCTTATTAATTTTCTTCTCGGCAATAATATTAATAATAATAACAATAATCGTGTGTAGTGAGAGTGTATTATTATTGACGCAGGGAGGGGACGTCGATGTATAATGTGAAAGAGATAACAATCGACATCTCTTTCCTCTTCGCAATCAACAACTTTTTTACAGATGCCTCTTTGGCTTGATTTTTACGATTGTCAAAATTATTTTCACGCTGTGAGAAAAAAAAAAATTCCCTAGAAGTAAATTTTGCATACCTTTTTTTCTTCACTTCATTCGAGTTTTGGAGATTTTTTAACGAACCCCCACAGTAGTCGGACCAAATGTACATAACTTACTTAGTACAACAGTGACGCAAATGTCGCGTAAACTTTGTTAGAGGAAACGAGCCGGTTGTATCTATACCGAATCTATATCTTAAGACACATACCTGTTGTTATAAAAGTAAATGTAAAACACGAGAAACATAAATTTCATATCAACGAAGGAAAGAATTGCCTAAACTCACTCTCGAAGCTTCTTCTGACAAGACTACTGGAATCGTGTGTGATACCTATTGTTCTTCATAGGGAAAAAAAAAATCCAAGAGTGCAACAACTGAGTCGGTGCTCGATATTTTTCGCGAATCCTTTCCTGATGAATTAAAAGAATGTTTTTAAATTACGAGAGAACTTTATGAAATAATGTTTCGACATCATGCCTCTCCCCTGCATTCAAATTTTGCACACCATCCCTTCGCCTTTACATAAACAAACATATAATTATGTACACATAAAAAAAAGTGAATAAATCGAAAAGTCGAGTCGAGTCAAGAGAAAAAACCTCACTGTATATTCTGATGGCTGATGAACGCGATAATTGCATGTGTACATAGCGATTCATCGATTTTAACGATTGTAATACATAGACTTTGTAAGTCGTATAAATATACACATGATATTTATATACTTGCTGTTTTTAAGTGCGATACATACAATAATTATAAGAGGGAGCCGGTCATAATACTCTTATTTCTTTTCCGTTGTCCAATCGACATGCAATTTACAAACAGGAGCGTGCGAAAACGAACTGACGCTACAAAGATCTCTCTTTGCGCATATATATATACATATATATATATATATATAAACCAAACCAGCAGAAATAAGTACAACACGCATATACGTACATGTTGGCTCGTGTCGTGTGTTTGTGCGTCGATCAGAGGGGGGGAGCGTCGCGGTATCGGTGGTGGGGCCAGAGGAGGAGGTCGCGCGACGACGACGACGAAGAGAGAGCCGCCGTCGCCGTCTAGCTAGCAGTTGAGTACACGACGCCGTCTGTGATAACGCACGCACGGTGTGTCGTCGTCATCGTCGTGTGTTCGTGCGTGCGTGATTATATTATTATATATTTATAAACGCGGGCCCAGCCATATATATATATATATATAAGTATAGCTGCAGTGATTGATAAACCAGCATCAGAGAGTGTGCGCCGCGGTACAGTGTGCTATTGTTGTTATTGCATGTGCTGCTTGCGAGCTTGTGTAAGTGTGTGATGAGAAGCAGGGAAAAAAGGGGAACGCAGCAGCAGCTTCGTTGGCGGTGGTGTTGTTGGTTGCTGCTGCAGCAGCCACAACTATAGTGCGACAACGAGTCTAGTGCCAGAAAAAGATTCGATTTGCACCTTTGGGGTGGAAAAGAAGAAGAAAGAAGAGGGACACGGAGGCGACGGTGATGATGCTGGGACGTTATGTCGTTGTCATCTTGGTTGGACCGTCCGTCCTTCGCTCGTACCAGCGAGGGCAAAGTGCCGTGTACGTGCAGTGACTGTGATTGTGTTCAGTGCGAGTGCGTTGGGAAAGAGAGGCGACCCCGACGAGGACGGGAGTGNGCCCAGTTAAAAAAAAAAAAAAAAATTAATCTTATGTATACTGCTCTGTTTTCGTGTATATGCATGAACACAGTGAACTTTCGAGGTCTACGCGTTAACATTTAGAGTTGTTATGCATAAAGACTAGTAATTATAAACGACTCACGCATGCACATGAAAAAAACAAAAAAAAAAACAAAAACAAAAAATTAATTTTCAATCGAATTGTGTACCCCTTCTACCCGACTGCCGCGAAATAGGCACTCCACAATCGATGCGCTCGGTATATACTTGGCACGTGCGTTTCGTCGTGTGCTTCTTTGCTTTTTAAATTCGACGCGCGGCAAATCACTCGATCGCACGAACTGGTGCATGCACATTTTGATACGTCAACAGATTATTGATTATTCATTCTAAAAAGACGTGGAAATGGTTTGTTTTTTTTTTCTTTCATACCTTTGTTTTCACAATACGTACACCTGGAGAAAAAAGGAGCACGCGATGGATGGAGATTACGCGTGTGGAAGCGCCGATTATGGAATGCCTTATTGTAATTCATAGTAACAACGTCTATTTATTATTATTTTTTTCACACCAATCGAAGAAACAAAAAACACGAAACAGCGAGGCACGTGTGTGTGTGAGAACCTGATTATTTGTAAATATATACATAACACATGAACACGATTGAAGTGAAGAGAGAAATGTGGAAAGTAGAAACGATTTTCGATTCAATAGTTTACGCTTTTGTTTTGTATGATTGACGCGAGTCATTTTTTGTCATTGAAAAAAAGAAATTAACAAAAGGGCCGCGCTGAACATTCATCAGAAACATATATTACGCAAGTTGACGATCTAGGCGAGTTTATTGTAATAATTGGTATTGGACGAGGCATAAAAAAGGCATAATACGCATGAAACAAAAAAAAATGAAGAATCGTAACAAAAAGCACCATGGATATCATTATAATAATTATCATTATTACTATTGTAAATAGTCTTTGAATAAACTGCGTAAATTTGTTGTTGTACAAGTATTTAATATATTTAAACAAAATAAAAACAAACTATTTTAGGACATACAAACAAAACAAGACAAACGCAATTAAGCAATTATTCGTGACTAAAAACGAAGGAAGAAAAATTCAAACGCGAATTCGATATTGTTGTACACAAAACGTTTGATAATACACTTTTTGGGTGGTAAACGAATGTGAGTATTTATTAGAACGAAAAAAGAAATGTTCAAACTTGCATGGCTCATTCGATACATCATCGACGACGTCAAAGAAGCATCAATTTTTCCAAGCCTCGAACAGGCGAATGTGTTTATTAGCGACTTGCGACCCCAAAGCGTATGGTATCGTTTTTTGCGAACGTCGAGTGCGATTCGTTGTTTAATAATAATTAACGATTGAAAAATTAAAAGTAAAAAACACGAGACGATGAAGGTAAGAAAAAATTCTAGTAAAACGAGTAGAAAAGCGTCCTGGTGACGACGGAGCCCCGCTCGTTCTTTTTTTGTATAATCAGCCGTTAATATGGAAAAAAATTGTTGTAACATCGTATAAAAAAAAAAAAATTAAATTAATTAAAAAAATAATTTATAAAATGAAATTAAGAAAATCTTATATTACGTATGAAAAATATAGAATCTATCCGAGTATAAGAGCGCATTCCGTCGACGAGGAAAATAAACTATTGAATGCAAGCACGCGCGACATGTATATGCATATATTATACTCACGCAGCCATCGAAAATGCGAATCTTGATAATCATACTTATTGTTTTCTGAAATCAGTCGAGAGCCGCCGCATTTCAAGTGAGAGTCGTCCAATTTTCTCACGATTCTTTTTTCGTCATTCATACGTATACCGAAGGTATCGACTTTTTCTTTATAACCACATGACTGCTCGAAAAACAGGGAGTGTTGTTTTTTTTTTTTTTTTTTTTTTTTTCAGATGCATAAGAATATAGTACCTGCAATTGGCAACCGAAGCCTGAATATAATGAAAGAAAAAATAAGAATAATAATGCGATATGGAGAGATGATTGATAAAGAAAAATTGTGATGAAAGTGTCGCTGATCGCATATAATTATTGTTGTAAAACAAGAGCGTGACAAAAAAAAATGAACGAGAACGATCTAGTTGCGAAAAATTATATATTATATTGTATTAAGTAAACGTAACCGGTGATTATTAACTTATATAGAGAGCTAAGGAAAAATATCTCTTCGTTAAATGTAAAATATTTATTTGCGCCTGTTTGTAAAAAGAGTTTTTGAATTTCATGGTAAATAGCTTGACTCGCGTTTTATGTTCGATTGAACGATAACCTCACAGTAAAGCTCAATAAAATACAGAATGTTGATAAAAATGTATGACTACAATTGTAGAAATACAGGCCTTCAATGTTTTAACGCAGAGATTGATGCTACTTGCTACGTGAAATTTAAAAACTCTGTACACTCGAGCCAAAACTTCCGTCAATGTACTCAAATTTATTTATTCGATTAATGTCAAAATAACTTAAATTATTATGAAGCAATGTGAAACAACATTGTGTTTTTCGTCAGACAGCATTGTCAATAGTTTATTTTCTCGGAGTGAAAGTAAAAGGCTCGTTTTGTTTTTATCTTTTCTTTAAATTATTAAGCTACCAAGAGAAAATACAAAAATAATATACGAAACAATTTTCATGACATAAATACACGAGAGCGTCGCTTCGAGTTTTTTTTTTTTTATAAAAATATATTTAAGTTTTTAGGACTGGTCGAATGGCATATAGAGATTCGTTAGAAGAATCGTTTCATGAATTAGTCATAAAAACTATATTGTTAAAGAACATGAGTGTCATTAAATACAAAGTGCAAAGTGAAAAGAAACGACTTGTATTGTATACCATTATTCACCAATTGTCCTTCCTTTTAATTTTTTATATTGCATACATATTACAAATATGTTCATCGTTATGATATTGTAAATAGTATTATTGGTTTAGTAAAACTGTTTTATTAATTAATTAATTTTTTTTTGTAACTTATTTAAAAATCAATCTTTTATTGTGTCGACGATTCATTTTTTAATAAAATTGTTACATGTGGAAATGTATATTATTTTAAGTACTATTTATTGCATAAATATCCTTATTTAAAATCATCAACTAGTGAATTTTTTAATTTTATTAACACATTTTGATAAACTCAATTTCGATTGTAGAATTTTCTTTTATCGACAATAAGTCATTTGTAGAATAAATAAATTTCTATATCCTAGCCTTATATAAATATATATAGTATTGTGTATGTGCCCTTGCGATTAGTACAATTTAATAAAAAAAAATAAAAAAACTGTATAGTTTTTTTTCGTCAATCTCAATGAGCGTAAAAGCCATTTTTAACTGTATACATACTATATATAGTTATGTGTATACAAACGTATACACGGTATTCATGGTTAAGACACCATTTTCGGGACTGCTTGTGAGAGAAGCGGTGGGAGAGGCAAACACAGATACAGTGTATCTGTTACATTCGTATACATATATACACCTACGCTTCGCTTGGCTTGTTATTTTTCCAGTTAGTCTCGAAAAAACTTCCTTTGAAACCCATTATTTTATTTTTTTTTTTTTTTTAATGTTTGCTTTGGCTTTTATAATATTTACATACCTATATCGCCATACACACCTACTTTAAATTTAAAAATATGAAAATGGTACAGCGCCATCTAGCGTTTCTGATTTTGAACTAAAAAAGTATCATATTTCTTTTCAAGAAAGTCACTAGCAAAAGTTACCAGGCTAGGGGATTTCTTTCAGAAGAAATATGGTACTTTTTTAGTTCGAAATCAGCAACGCTAGATGGCGCTGATCATTTTCTAATTCTAAATTCTTATAACTATGCATGCATGCGTAAAAAATTTATAGCTATAACCAGCGACGAGACACTCTGTCTCGAGAAAGTCGGCAGAGCTTTATTTGTTATAATTATAAATAATTTAAATCGATCACATAGATCGCTTCATCAAACACAGAGTTTGTCTTCCGAAAGAGTACACACAAATGATTGCTGGTTCATCTATCTTTGTTAACCCTGACTTGAGTGTATATAGATTAATAAACCAATCGTTGTTGTAAAGCATTAGGTAGCATAAATTATCGATATCGATGTGCACAAATATTTTGTAAATCATCAAACAAGTAACCGAACATGGGTCCACCTAAGCGTTTGAAAAAAGACACAGGTACATAACCTGTACTGGTAACGATTCGTGAAAAAGCTGTATTTTGCACGAAAATATAATGATTGCATTGAGTTTGTACGGATTCTTGAGTGAAAAAGTCATCTGCAATTCATGTACGTTCTTTTCAGACCGTGGCAAATGGAAAAAACGGAAAGACGACCCTGATCCAGATTACAATGTTGACGATGATGATAGTAACATCGACGCCGAAGGTATTCCTGATGCTGCGAAAACAGATGTCGAAAAACAAGATGAAGGTGTCATTGAAGATGAGTTTGGAGCCAAGGATTATCGCTCACAAATGATTCTCAAAGCTGACAATGCTTCAAGACCTCTATGGGTGGTATGTATAAAATATGATGTACTGAAAATATGGCTTATTAACGAGAATACATCTTATAGGCTCCCAATGGACATATTTTCTTGGAATCTTTCTCACCTGTTTACAAGCATGCACATGATTTCCTCATTGCCATTGCAGAGCCTGTATGCAGACCAGAACATTTACACGAAGTGGGTAGAATACCATGTTTATCAATTTTTGTTTCTCAAACTCATTTCAAAGAATATCATTAAAACAGTTTTTATGATTTTTTTATAGTACAAGCTGACAGCTTATTCTTTGTATGCAGCTGTCAGTGTGGGACTACAAACACATGACATTACTGAATATTTGAAAAGACTGAGCAAAACTAGCATTCCTGATGGTATTATAGAATTTATCAAACTTTGTACCTTGTCATATGGAAAAGTAAGTTACAATTTGTAAGTGGTATGTCGATCTTAGTAGTATTACTGGGATTTTTATTCAAGAGATATTTCACCATGTTTAGGTAAAACTTGTTTTGAAACATAACAAATACTTTATTGAATCAACTTTTCCTGAAGTTTTACAAAAGTTACTGAAGGATCCAGTTATTCAAGAATGTAGATTAAGGAAAAATGTGGGAGATGAAGCCAAAGACAAAGATGGCCTTATCACTAATGTGATGACTAAAAACAAAGCCATTCAGGTAAAAAATCTCTTTTTCATTTTTTTCGGAATCGTATATAAATACAACCTTGTCTTAAAACAGTTTGGAGCAAAACCAGCTCAAAATCCTCCGCAATCAGGCACAGCAGCACCTGGTGCTACTACTATACCAGCAGATGGCACAACTACAGTAAACTCTGAAGAGGCTGTAGTTCCAGAAGATATTTCTAATTTTTATGATAAAATCGATAAAGAAGATGAAGACGAGGAAGACCATCAATTGAAGACTGTTAGTTTTGAAGTAAACCAAGAAAAAATTGAAGTAATTCAAAAAAGATGCATCGAGTTGGAGCATCCTCTATTGGCAGAGTATGATTTCCGTAACGATAGCGTTAATCCAGACATCAAGTTAGTAACTGGTTTAAATTTCAAACTTTAAAGATACATTAAAGTATTTTACATGATTTTTGTATTATTGCAGCATTGACTTGAAACCGTCGACGTTATTGAGGCCTTATCAAGAGAAAAGCTTACGGAAAATGTTTGGCAATGGTCGTGCACGATCTGGCGTAATTGTATTACCTTGTGGTGGGTATTAAGTCTATAAGAAAACATCAATTACTAACTAAATACTAAGAAGGAAAAATAAAACTTTTAAACAGGTGCCGGTAAAAGTTTAGTAGGCGTGACAGCCTGTTGTACAGTAAGAAAGCGAGCCTTAGTTTTATGTAACTCTGGCGTCTCAGTAGAACAGTGGAAACAGCAATTCAAGATGTGGTCGACAGCCGACGATTCTATGATTTGTAGATTTACTAGTGAAGCCAAAGATAAGCCTATGGGCTGTGGAGTCTTAGTTACAACCTATTCTATGATTACGCACACACAGAAAAGATCATGGGAGGCTGAGCAGACTATGAAGTGGCTGCAGGAGCAGGAATGGGGTATCATGGTTTTGGATGGTAAATAGTTTGGTTTAAAAAATTTTTTCTACCATCAATTTCAATACAAATAAATAATATTTTCACACAATTAAAACAGAGGTACACACAATTCCGGCAAAAATGTTCAGAAGAGTATTAACTCTCGTTCAGTCTCACTGCAAGTTGGGACTGACAGCTACCCTATTAAGAGAGGATGATAAAATTGCCGATCTCAACTTCCTTATCGGGCCAAAGCTTTACGAGGCAAATTGGTTGGAGTTGCAAAAAAGAGGATTTATCGCTAAGGTACAGTGTGCCGAAGTTTGGTGTCCCATGACTCCAGAATTTTATAGAGAATATTTAAGTAGCAAAATGAGTAAGAAAATGGTAAGAACTTGATGAGTCGTGAAAGGTTTTTCATAAAATAATGTAATGGGAAATTCAATAAATTTTATTTTCCTCCAGCTCTTATACGTTATGAACCCAAACAAATTTCGTGCCTGTCAATTTTTAATACGTTACCACGAGAGGCGCGGTGATAAGACTATCGTTTTTTCGGACAACGTTTTCGCATTGAGGCATTACGCGATAAAAATGAACAAGCCCTATATTTACGGTCCTACTAGTCAGGTAAGGGAGCAATAATTGTTGTAACTTGGACTCGTAACTTAAAATTCTACATTTACTTTTTCAGAGCGAAAGGATACAAATTTTACAAAACTTTAAATACAACGTAAAAGTTAACACGATATTTGTGAGTAAAGTAGCCGATACCTCTTTCGATATGCCAGAAGCTAACGTTTTGATTCAAATATCGTCACACGGTGGTTCAAGAAGACAAGAAGCTCAACGATTGGGACGTATTCTGAGAGCTAAAAAAGGTTTGTAAAGTGGGATAAAAAATTTTTTTATCACTACTACGATTTAAATCATCTATTGGACTATAAAAAATAAAATATTTCACAGGAGCGATTGCCGAAGAGTACAATGCGTTTTTCTACACGCTAGTGTCTCAAGACACAAATGAGATGGCTTATTCGAGAAAGAGGCAGCGTTTCCTTGTCAATCAGGGTTACGCGTATAAAGTTATCACGAGACTTGCTGGTATAGATGAGGTGAAGACTGCATACTCTATTTTATCATTTATTAATTTTACGTACATCGTAATTGGATAAAAATTGAAAAAAAAAAAAAAAAAATTAAAACTACTCGAGACTGATTGTAAATAGAAACCTTACGATAATGTTGAGATGATGGATAATTGATATAATTTTTGTTAGGAACCTGACATGATGTACAAAACACGAGAAGAGCAAGGACAACTATTGCAACAGGTCCTATCAGCCAGCGATATGGACGCGGAAGAGGAGAGAATTCCCGGCGAAGGACCTCGAAACGTAAGTACATACATAAAAATACAAGTCTTAGATTTCTACTTTACTCGGATGATAAAGTATCCAGCTTATCTCGCTCTCAATCAGCAACAATGCTATCAGCGTGTTTGTTTTAAAGTTTCGTGTGGCAAAGCAAACGCTGGTTTACGTTGTATTTGTTTGTTGAACAATCCTGGCAAGATAATAAGCTTAAAATGTTTGAATGTAGAAAAAAAATGTCACGTATTCACACAGGATATTACATCACCAACAAGAAGGTACGTCGTGTTTTTGGGCACGCGATTTTTGTGTAAATATTAACAATGGTTTTTTCGAAACCGTAAGCCGACATTGTTATAGCTTGAGTTCGACATTCAAACTGCAAAGACGCCCCACCTATATTTTACTATGAATATAATATAGTACCACCTTTCTGAGAGAAACAAAAAAAAATTTATCAACGATTGGAAATCGTTTCAGATGGTTCGCAAGGCGGGCAACATGGCATCGCTGTCCGGAGCCGACGATGCCGTTTACTACGAGTACAAGAAATCCGCGTCTTCCTCAACAGCGAGCAAGCACCCGCTTTTCAAAAAATTCAGAAGCTAGTTACCCGACGAATGTTCGTATTTTGTTTATTTCTTCTATATTTTTGTTTGCCAACTTAACTCACGTGAAAAACGCAGGACGTGTATATTGATAATAAAATTAATAAAACGTACTTTCTAAACCATGGTTTTTAAACTTGGTGTACTTTTTGAAGAATCCCTGAACTTACATTTCCTTACAGTAATCAAATTTATCAACAACTCTCTTGCATCTCCTTTTTTTGATACTCTAATTTATGTAATTACGGCCGCGAGTGAAAGTGTTTTTTTTTTTTTTTTCTCGTTTTTTTGTACCTTACGATACCGAAGCTTATACACAGGCAAAGTGCACGATACTGTGGATGTCTAAGGAGTGCATGCACATGTGTGCCGCTGTGAAAGTTGATTGTAAAACGCATACGCATATTTTTGTTGCAATTACGCGAAAAAAATTTCTTTTTTACTGCTTCAGGGAACTTTGGAAATTTTTTTATTTCTACGTAGCATTCTATTCATAAAAAGGTAAAAATAGCTTTTAAAACCAATACATTAGAAAAAGTATTTGTTTATGAAAATGTAAAATTTATTCAAAGTAGTGTGCACATTATCATTCTCTTACCTCGAGTAAAATTCAGCAGATCCGTGAAACCTGAGTTGCAGTAGTTAAAAGGTAATCCAGCATAAAAGTTCTGAAAATTAAAAAATTAAATTTATGTATTAAGACTATAAAAAACTTTTGGCTTGATTACAATTTTTTAATTTCATTTTAAAAATAAAAATCATGATTCTGTCAGTCAAAAGGTGTCGAAGCGTACGAACATACATAACAAGTATTGTTTTTACCTTTACGTTTCTCGCGTTATATAATTTTTTTACAATAGAAGCTCAATGCAAGCGCTCAGTCTACCCAATTCCATTGTATATACTTTTGTTTTAACGCTCATATTTAATTACCAAGAAAAATAGAGACTTTAAAGAGTAAGAAACAATAATAATAGCTCTTATATAAGATAAAATTGCTTGAAAAGTATACGTGCAACTTGGTTTCAAATCTTTTTAAACAGTCGTTCTCTACCAAGTCGATGAGTTGCTTGAATCGATAGGTCGACGTAATATGACTTTGGTGGACGGTAACATTGCGCGCGGGACGACAGACAGATCATGCTGCGTATTTTTCAAATACTCGACAACTTTTTTATCCAAAAATTCACAGGAAAAAAAAAAAAAAAAAAAAACATGCATGAAATTAATTTAAGGAAAATTTTTACATGAATCGTCACTTGTAATACATTAAAACAAAAACAATTGTAAATGACTTTTTCCTACTTCCTTACGCAAAGTGGTTAACGGGCACCAACGTACAACGTATTATACTATATATTGTAAACGAATAAAGTGCGAAGGGCTGCGCACGCCTGAAAGTCTCGGTAAAAATTAGGTAATCTTTTCCAAGACTTTTGTAAACTTTAAAAGACCTTATGTGACTAAAATTGGCTTGATATAGTATTTTCGAGACTCTAACGGCCTTCTGAACAGTATACGCATCAGCGTCTCGACAAAAATCACATTAACGATCCTCGCAAGGACATATAAATAACACGATAAAACCCTTACGAGCTTCCAAGCTACGAGTAACCCCCTGACAGAGTGAAAATGCGACACCCAACGGTAGTCAACACCGCGACCGGCATCCTGACCGTCCCGTCCGATCTCGAAATCGAACGCTCGACCTCCCCCTACCAGCGCGAGTAAAAAAGTCGCCCTGTCCGTAAGCTATCGCGTCACAAGCCTCAAGGCGCGTTCCCACGCCACCCGAGAGCCACGACCGCGGTTCTTGGATCCAAGTGGCAAGCCACACCGATCGACGCCCGTTGTAGCGAATCGCACGGAAACGCACGCTCTCGACGCGTGACGGACATATAGGGCTAAAAAGACTATACCATCCAGAAGAGCGGCTCAGTAGCATACCGGCGCCTCTGCCAGTTGGAGTGGAAGCGACTAACTTTCGCTCTGCGCCTCTTTTTCTCTTCGATTTACCGTTGCAAACGCCTATACCTATACTTGTATCGCGTCTAAAACGAGTGAAAAAAAAAAGAAAAAAAAAAGTAGAAAAGCAGTGAAGCGCAAAACTCGGAAATAAATATACAGCCGGCAGCCGTTGCTGGGAGAGCAGCGTATAGTAGCACGCCGATGGGGTCTCCTGTCGCCGCCGCCCACCCTACACGGCCGCAGTAAGGAGCAACTCCCCCTTCCAAGGACATGCCGTGCTCGCGCAACGCCCGCGATCGCCCGCCGTGTTGGAGAGGACTTTCACCGCTGCTTGTACTCCCGGTGACGTTTTAACGCCATTCGAACACGCTCGACAGAGTCACATCATCCATTTGCGGCAGCTGCCGACGTGCAACAATCGCCAGCCTCATAGCCGTGGGCTCGAAGTGTACACCCGCATCGGTCACTCGGGGCACATTGTTCACGCAGTGGGGGCAAGAGCGTGTGGTGTGGTGTGTGCTTATATACCCAACCCAGCAGGAGGTTACGGAAGAAGACGAGGATTACAAGCGAGAGAAGGGCGTCTCACCGCTTCACCCACCCACTCGACTCTCTCTCGCTCTCGGGTGTGTATACGTGCGTGCGTGCGAAATCTGCCTACATATACATACGGGGTGTCGCTCGTCTTCCCCAATGTATAACGTGTGCCCGTGAATAGGTAATGACATTGCATATACGCGGCACGTAAACGCTTGTACCTGCGGGGGGCGCTGCTCTGCTCCGCGAAACCCCGAACGATTAAACATCCACGGGGAGGGCCTCAGCAACCAAGCCCCCTCGTAGCCGAAGAGGGGGGGAAGTATAGGGTAGGAAAAAAGCGGTGAATCAACGAGTGTATGTGTGAGATAGAGAGAGAGAGAGGGAGTGGGACACGCGTGCGAACACAATAATATGAGGGTCGCCGTCTCGGTCGAGCAGCTGAGCTCCGAAATCACGGTGGAAGCACGAACAAGGCGTGTTCACGCGTCGGGGGCAACGAGGGCCAGTAGATGCAGTTCGGCGGGCAGTCGCGGTTCTCGATGATTCCAAAGACGAGGCGGCAGGGACGAGCCACCGACGACGATTATCATCGTTACTGTTCCAGGACGACGGCGACGACGAAGACGGGGACAATCGTTGCGCCCGTAAGGCTGATGGGATGCGGCTTCGCTGAGCCGTACGCTACGGTCCTCCTGCGCCAGCATCGTCATCATCATCATCATCACCATTGTAAACATAAACAAAATGCGTCGAGGAGACGGGTGTTTAAGTTTCGCGAGCAGCGCCACTGTAGCCCGTCAACGGCAACAAGAGCCAAGGCTGGCCCCCGGCGGAGGCTGCACCGAGCCAACAACGACGCCGGCTCCGAGCTGCTGACAGAGACGATGCTCCTCGATTTGTCTTCGTCGTCTTCGTCAGGATCGTCGGTGATTATAATGCCCAACAGCCGGCAACGATCGTCATCGTTGCCATTGCCGTCGTACTACCGGAAACGCGAAACACCTGTCGATGATCATTGTCGCTGTTGCGATGATCACGTCCAAGGATTGACAAGCTCGCGTGGTATCGTTACCTGTTGTTCGGATGCCATCGCAGTTGTCGGAGATAAGCGAGAAGCTACATAACCCCCTCCGGCCGCTCGAAGCGACCGAGTGCAGTTGAAAGAAAGAAAGAAAAAAAAAAAAAGTGACAGTTTTGTATACCAAGCTCGTGCATACGCGTGGGTGTGTGATACACAAGTGGGCGCGTGGTTTTGTCGGCCAAACGCGCTAGACAACGGTGATTTGTTTTTTTGTTTTTTTTTGTTTTTGTTTTTTTTTGTTCGTTTAGCCAAAAAGAGCCACTCCTTGTGTTGGTGCTGGTGCCTCGTTGTCCAAAGTTACGGTGAGAAAAAAAGAAAAGAAAGAAAATGGGCCGCGGGGTTGAGACAATGGGAGTGACGATGTATTCGATGGTGTGCACCGTGTACGGGTTCGCAATATTTTTCATGGTTTTCTGGTCGGCCATGTGGTTGGTGCACATATTGGCCCTGATAGCCGGGCGCTGGAAACTCCACCGCAAGGTCAACCAGGTGCCGAGCTACGAGACCCCCTTGCCCGGGGTCTCGATAATCAAGCCCCTCATGGGGGTCGATCCGAACCTCTTCAGCAACCTCGAGACCTTCTTCCAGCTCGATTATCCCCTGTACGAGTTGTTGTTCTGCATCGAGGACGAGCAGGATCCCGTGCTCGTGCTCGTCCACAAGCTCATCGAGAGGTATCCCCAGGTGGAGACGAAGCTCTTCGTTGGTGGCCGAGGGGTCGGGGTCAACCCAAAGATCAACAACATGCAGCCGGCTTACGAGGCAAGCCGGCACGAGCTCATACTGATAAGCGACAGCGGCATCCGCATGCAGGAGGACACCCTCCTCGACATGGTCAACTACATGACGGACAAGGTCGGGCTCGTCCACCAGATGCCGTTCACCTGCGACAGGGAGGGCTTCGCCGCGGCCTACGAGAAAATATTCTTCGGCACCGTGCAGTCGCGCATGTACCTAGCGGCCGACCTATTGCGCATCAATTGCCACACGGGCATGTCGGCCCTCATAAAGAAGGCCCTCCTCGAGGAAGTCGGTGGATTAAAGACCTTCGGGGTGTACCTGGCCGAGGACTTTTTTTACGCCAAATCCCTGACGGACCGGGGCTGGAAGATAACCGTGTGCTCGCAGCCGGCCATGCAGAACAGCGGCCACTGCGAGGTGTACAGCTTCCAGGCGCGACTGCGCCGCTGGGCGAAACTCCGGGTGGCCATGCTACCGACGACCATCGTCCTCGAGCCACTCAGCGAGTGCCTCATCCTCGGGGCTTGCGCCAGTTGGGCGGCGGCTGTGCTCTTCGAGTGGGACTCCCTCGTGTTCTACGTGTGCCACTGCGTCCTCTGGTTCATGTTCGACTGGTCGCTCCTGTGCGTCGTCCAAAACGGCCCTTTGCCCTTCAACATGCTCGAGTTCGTGATCGGATGGATACTGTGCGAGGCGACGAGGCCGTACCTGTTTGCCCAAGCCATCATAGATCCGCTGATACAGTGGCGCTCGCGCGTCTACCGGCTCAAGTGGGGCGGCGTCGCCGAGGAGGTCAAAAAGATCAAGGCTTGAGCCCGGCTCCTGCTCCTACGGGCACTCGGCGCGGCGCAAAGACTCCTGTACCATCATCATCGGCGTCATTGTAATCCTTTCGCGACAGTCCGCCGGTGATGATGTACTTGCGCAAAGCTTCGCGCACGACGGGGGGTACACGGGGGTGTATGCTTTGGAAGAAAAGTTTCACTTCCGGAACGAACGCGCGGCTCAGGAAATCCTTCGGTACCTACGAAAAGCCAAAATTCCGTATTTTACCTACTACCGATGTATGCTTTATTACTTCGGAATATTTGCACCCATCTTCGGTTAGTCGTTAATTATCATGAGTTGTACTCGGATTTATGGATACCAAGTTCTTCTATGGTTTGCGCGTTTCATTCGGAATTTTCGCTTTTCTTAAAAAAACTACACAACTCGCGTCACCCTTCGCGCGCGCACAGTGCAATAAAAGTGCAGCCGATCGATCTCATAACCGTTATACATGCATAGGTATTAATAATTACGTATACACCTGTATAACTGTGTGTGTCGCGTGTGACACTTGATGTGTGATCGTGCTTTTACCTCCGAGTGGAACAGTTCCAATGGAATTCAAGACTGTGGTGTTACATTATACGTGGCGCTACGTAATATATATATATACATAGGTACGTCACTCAACGTGATTGCGACGGACCCACACCTCCGTCGGACAAGCATATCTTCTCTCGTATTTGCGTGTATTATAACGGTGTACAGTTATTATTGTTGCTCGCTGATGGACAAGACGTACAAATTTGAAGGAAAACAAAAAACGCGTTTGTGCCGTAGATGAGGAAAGTTGCTAACTATTGCGGGACGAAAAACAAAAAAATGTCTGTATATTATATATAAAGAAATATTTGTGTGTGTGTGTGTGTGTGTGTGTGTGTGTGTGTGTGTGTGTGTGTGTGTGCGCGCGTTAGTGGGAGAAATAACGCCGAGCGGTTTAGACGGCCTTTTCGTATACAGGTATATATACATATAATCATCGTCCCGATTCTCGATGTTTTTTTTTTTTTATTTTAGCTCTTCGATGAGTATTTACTCGTTTTGCTGGTCGAAAAGTAGATGGACGCAAGGTTTTTTGTTTTTCTTAGCATCAGACGCACGTATACGATTTCTCATGCGCGTTTCAATCGAGATTTGGGGGGGGGGGGGGTTATAGCGGGAAATCAGTTGTTATCGCGATGTGCTCGTACGATACTTCCTATTACTTATATCGATTAAGCGCGTGTAGCTTATCTATACTTATATTTTACGGACAAAAGACAAAAATTCACGTACGTGTGTGACAACAGATTTTTCGTTGTGACTAGTATAACAAAAACAGCGTCGACGCGGGGGATGACGTTATTTTCCGTTCACGTGGTATGTGCGCGAGGATAAAAAAAAAAAAAAAAAAAAACCACAACATGTAAAACATTCCCGTGCTGCGTTGCGAGAGATTTCTCATGACGATATAATCAATTTGAATGCGATTTTTTAGTGTTACCTGCAGGGAGAGAGAGATAATGCAACATTTAACAAAAAACGAATTTATCTTTTTTTTTTATCAAGTCGAGACGTTTTTTTAACGACACTTCTGCTTTATCGAAATTCACTTTGATAATATACCGTGGAGCATGCGTTTTTCAAAATTTCTTGATAGTATAGTGTTACAATTTTCAATTTCCCCCTAAAGGAAAAAAAAATCTCTTGTGCGGTAATTCGGTGTGTAAAAAAGTGTACACGGAGAGGGAATTTACGGGTTTATCGCATGGAGGGTATCTGGCTGTTAGCGCATGCAGCTCCCCATGCGTCTAAAACGCGAAGCTGATGCGCTGGATGCCAGCCAGTGCTTGTGTTAAGGCCCGTAGAGTGTTACATGCTATCAACACATGTGAGTACACGGCTGCGAACCAAGAAAAGCCGTAGCCGAAACTCATCGACTATGTCCGAGCTGAAAACGCAAGGAGCATGATGGGTTTAACGCATCATGCTCCTTGCGTTTTGGGTATCAGCTGATGGTTGGCGCAAGAGTCTGCTATATACGTATACGTATACACGTTATGTATATATGATTCTCAATATTCTCATAGCCTTTCCAAATACTAAGTGCAGCAATTTCGAGATGTGCATTGTGTACGAGTGACAAACGGTGTAACAGCTAGCTTATGCATCTCATCGCAAATCATTTAATTTGGTACGTAAGTATATAAAGATGATGCATTCGCACAAAATTTTCAATGTTGTGGTATTTCTAACCAAAAACATCAGAAATAAGTTTACACACATATATGTATATATATAAATATACATATATGTACGTTAGAATAGGCAGTAATAATTTATTTGTCAAATATTTATTAAAAAATATCTTATTGCAACAACACTTATCTTGTGTCAGAAACGCAAACGTACATTTTGAGTACGTCGACAGCTCTTTAGAAATAATCTGTTGGTGTATCGGTTTGACACTTACAATTATGTTATGTTTGATTGATATAGGACCCTGTGCACATGATTTCTAATTTACTGAATTGTCTCCGTTCATAAGCACTCAAGATATTTAATTCACTACAAAGTCTTAAAGTCTTGCATGTTAGACTTTGGTTATGGATAATTTTCAACAACAAGCAGGAGACTTTTCAGAATCACTTGTACAACCTTCGTTATCTTCCAATGGTTTGCTTCTTATTGTATTATCATCATTACCTTGCATGTTTTACATAAAGTATAAACAATTGGTACAATAGCCTTCATTTTTCTATAAATTATAGTATTTATTTGGATAACGACAAATAAATTTTTAATGCTATGCACAAAATAATAGTCGATTAATTTATTTTTCCTTCATTACATGCAGCAGAAACAAGCGAGAAAAAAAGAAAGTAAAAACTTCCTGTATTATACAATTTTTTATTTTGTTACATTAATTAAAATTTTTTTTTTCCTTTCTAAAACTTGCATAGCGTTTAAAGTTCATACTTGTAACACATTCTCATATGTAATACTTAAAAGAACAGAAACAGCGTTAAATGTATACATATTTATATGTATATATACATATATAGCATATATATATAGGNGAGAGAGAGAGAGAGAGAGAGATAGCGTAGTGGTATTACAAGGGTTGGTAGCCGGTTGGCTTGGTCCTGAGCTTCCTCCTTCGGCACTGCGGGGCGAGAGAAAGAAAGTTTCGCGATCCTCCGGCACGACAGAGAGAAAGAACTTTGGTGGCCAGAGGGTGGGAGGGAAGGCTCTCTTTCTCGCTAATGCATGCGCCCCCGTCGCTGGTTGGCACTACCACCGCCGTGGCGGACTATAAAAATCAATACCTCAAATTACCGGGCTCTGCTTAATTTTCTTCAGGGTGGTGGCCCACCGCCACCGTCGTCAGCACGCCCGCCTGCAGCCTTTCGCTTCTTTTCTACCCTCTCCTGTGCGCTGTAGTACAAGTACACCCCCATACGGTAGGTTCATTTTTTTCTCTTTCTCTCGAGACTCTCTCTTGCTAATTGTTTACATGGATAGATACGTACATGTACATGTAGCTCATTGCTTGTAGTACAAAAGTGAGGAAATAAAAAAAAAAAAATAAAAAAAAAATTAGTCATTACATTTAACTCCTTGCTTAGTCTTCCTTGTTAGCCCAAAATGTTGAAATAGGAGTTAATGTATTTTAACTTTTATCAAGTACTAGACATACTTAGGTGGGATACGTAATATGTAGATAAATTAAAAAAAAAATTTTTTTTCAAAAATCTTTGCAGGTTTTTGTCCCTTGTTAACTGAATTCAGCTATACTTCTTTTAAATGAAATCGTAAGGAAAAAACGATATACACTTAAAACTGAATTCATGTTTCGTGCAAGATAAAAATTTGTTTTTAAAAACTAGCACGTAAATAAACATCCAATTTATCGTAATGACGTAGGATGAAAAAAGGAAGAAGAAAAAAATCAATTATCTGCCAAAAAAAGTAGAAAAAAAAGTCTACGATACAACGGTGTAATATCAAATTGAATGATAAGTGTCGATAAAGCATAAATGTATACTGTTTGAAAAAATCATTGAAAAATATGTCACATAAGACACGCACACAGAGACATAAAACAAAAAAAGGTATGCTAAACTTATCTTCTCGATTGTCGAAGAGGATTGGCTATCGCAACTACATACTATACATGTACACGCGTGTAAGTGGTCGAAGCATTATATCACTCTCGATTGTCGAGGTCTTTCTTTCAAGTTCTATATATATATACATACATGAGCAACATAACACTTGACAAAGGAGCTCAAATTAGCTTTGTTTGTTCAATCAATGCCGGACATGATATAAAAAGGGATAATGCACTGCAGTGGAATGTAAAGACGGGATGGACATACACATGAGACAACGAATGCCTTGCTTGCCATTGAAAAACTACCGAAATAACAACAACAACGAAATTTATCCTTGAGATAATACGTGGTTTTTTTCCTTCTTCAAGCAATCACGTTTTTTTCATTTGTCATCCGTGTCAAGATAGTGAGAGAAAGATCCGTGTTTAAGGCTTTGAATTTTTCATACCGTAAGGCAAACGATTACATTACAGCAAACGAGAGGGTCACCGCAATCGATACGCCTTCAATCAGAGCGATTACCCGATTTGTCGTCCTTTTTTTATTAATGTGCATGACAATGGAAAAAAAGGGCTCGGGGAGGTATAAGTCGATATTGTGAATTTAGTTTCCACTCGCGACAGAGTCTCGGCTCTGCTCCCTTGAATAATCAAAGTACGTACGAAACTTTGTTTATCGCTGTTGTTGTTCTTTCTTGACGTTGTTACCGAGATTGTTACACATACATTACCTTTATGAGTTTGAATACATTCTTCATATTTGAGAGAAAGTTTTGGTTAGAAGAAAAAATTATTACAGCTTGGCCGTGTACATTAATGCTATGTCGAAAGTCGGCGAGACTTACGTAAACCGAGACTGATGGCGTGCTTCGATCACACGGCCGGAAGAACCAAACGAGCTGCATTGGAGGGGGAAACAAAATGAGAAAACGTGTGCGTGAAAAATAAGACGAGACCGCATGGAGGTGATTGTTGCTGATTCTCCATTCTTCCGTGTGATTTATAATCGCGAAAAAATTTTGTTACCGTTTTTCACGTGACATGGAAAATGATTTTTAGGCGATGATAAAAATTAAGTTTCGAATAAAATGGCTGAAAAAGAGTACATTTATTCACAGAAAAAAACGAAGAGGAAAAGTCGTCTCATAACGACGTGGAGAGGCAATTTTGTTTTTTTCTTTGACACGTCGTACTTTTAAGAAGCAGCACGTGGTATGGTTTCAAAGAGGCACTGCCCAAACGCTTACTAATGACTCGCTAATAGTCTAAATTGATTTTTTTTTTTTTTTTTCAATGCTGTTTTGAGAAAATACACAAGAATAACGATTGCAGGCCTATGGCACATCAGACCGATGCAAGCTCTGTCGAGAAGTATAATTTTTAATGCGTGACATTATCGAGTTTCATATCCGCGTGACCTTGTGTTTATTTTTTGCGTTGCGAACGATATAAGTTTTTAAACAGAGGAATTATTTTTTAAACTACATAACAAAGATGCCAAACATTATTACGATAACACGAGTAAGATTGTTCTTAGGAAATAGTTAATATAATAATTCATTATTGATAATTCTATAGATAAATACCGTACGAAATTTTTTCGCATGAAAATTAACTGTTTGATTAATTTGTCGTGTAGATTGCTCCTCTATAATTGAAATAATATGTATTTTAAGCCGAATTTTTGGTTAATTGATTAAAAACAAACAATTATTTTTCTTGTCATTTCAGTGATTTTATTAGTGGGCATAGCTTGAAAATAGCTCGAACCAAACTATACGTTCAGTTATTATGAAATGAGTTTTAATTGCATATTTACTTACGCAAGATTATTGGCATGAAAAGAAAAAATAATTATACGGGAGCACATGCGATGCTAACAAAAGATTTCATTGAAGAAATGCATGACTTGTAAAAAAAAAAAAATAAAAAAAAATATAAAGTTAAGCAAAAAAAAATTTTATTCAATATTATCGATCGAGGGTGTAAAAATAAATTAACTGTACATAACTTTCGCATGACTTTCCCTTTTAATGTTCCGAATTAAGTTTTAAAGCGTTTGAGATTGGAAAAATGATGAAAAAATGTGACGAATACTATATAATATGTTTGAGAGAATGAGCTACCGATTCAGGATGCGTTGAAAAGCAATGTATTTTTTTATACATATACGTGCGAATGATATCAGTGTACATACATATATATTACAATGAAATAAGACGAGACCATACCTTTCCTCTGCGAACTTTTTTACGTTTCAAGTCTTAAATTAATTTATTATCTACGCTTTTTGATATAGT